GCTTAGAACTCACTATGGAATTGGGAACATAGCCCAGGATAGCTTAGGACTCACTATGGAATTGGGAATATAACCCAGGATAGATTAGAACTCACTATGGAATTGGGCCTGACTCCTGATTCTCCACCTCCCTAGCGCTGGGGTTACTGCTGTAGGTTAGTACACCTCGTTTATTCAGCGCTAGGGATAGAACCCAGGGCGGGATGCAGGCGAGGCAAGTCTCTGGCCACAGACCCACATCCTCAACACCATTTTTTAGTTACCTGTTTATTTACTTATTATTTTTAGATGATCTCATTTTGTGTCCCGGGCTGGTCTGGAAATCATAAAACTTTTTTTTATTTGAAACAAGGTTTCCCAGGCTGGCCTGGAACTCACTGTGTAGATCAGGCTGGCCTAGAGTTCACCAGAATATACATGCCTTTGCCTCCCTAGAGCTGTGATTAAAGGTATGTGTGACCACACCTGGCTCATTTCTTTGAGACAGGATCTCATCCACAGTTCTTGCTGGCCTGACCATGTATAAGGACTGGTCTTGAATTTGCAGACATTCTCCTGCCTCTGCCTCCTTCTCCTGAATGTTAGGATTACAACTATGCATTACAATGGCTGTGCCTTGCAATTCTTTCCCTCCCTTTCTATCTTTTTTTTAAAAAACAGTCTCATGTAGCCCAGGCTAGCCTTGACATCCCTGAAATCCTTCTCCTTCAGCCTCCCAAATGCTGAGGTTACACATATATGCCCTGTTAATTATCTGCATTTTAGAGATGAAGAAACAGGCTCAGGCATGCAAAGCCCCAAAGTGTGATGGATTAGGGCAAAATGGGGCCAGAATCCAGAGAGGAATACTTCTGATTCCAAGCCTGCCACCACACCTCAAGAGACAGGGGGCAGCAGCAGAGGTTCTGAGGTAATGGGGTGTAAGAGGTCAGAGAACCAGATGGTAGGGTTGACTGGAGCCAGGAAGGAGGAGAAATGAGTACAGGCCAGGAGCAGGGGACAGGCTGGGCAGGGACAGAGGGGCAGAGGGGCAGAGGGGCAGAGGGGCAGAGGGGCAGAGGGACAGAGGGACAGAGGGACAGAGGGACAGAGGGACAGAGGGGCAGAGGGGCAAAGGGGCAGAGGCCTTTCTCAGAGTGGCTCTGAGGTTCTCACCTCCACGAAGACAAAGCAGGGGATGATGGAGAAACTCCGCTTCAGGTGAGGTCTCCCTCCAGCCATGGTGAAGGCCAGGCCTGTGGAGGGAGAGGGAGCGGGAACACTGGGGGCACAGCACTGAGTAAATGAGGCTCCATGGACTTTTGCATCTGCTCTTTAACCTGGCCATGCTCGGCCACCAGTTCCCACCTTGCTGGCCCCTGCTCCTGCTCACTGGACATCCTTGCCTCCTCTCACGCAGGGCTCTGAGGTCTGCCAGTGAGCTGAGGCTTTTTTTTCCTAGTTGCATTTATTTGTTGCATCTGTGCACGTGTGTCACACAGTTCATGTGGAGATCAGATGGCAACCTATAGAGGTTGGTTCTCTCGAAAGATTCTATAGTGACCTCTTCTCTCTACCTTCAATTAGAGAAATTCAGCAGACCCCATGCCTTTCATGGGGGCCTCTAACCGGCCCTTAGAGGGAACACCTTAAGCTTTAGAGAAGGGAGGCTCTCTCCTTGGTACCGTTGTCATATTTTAGGAAACTTCATCTTTGCCCAGAGCCCCCATGCTTCTTGCCCTCTCGCTTCTTCAAGTCTCTTCCACCATGGCCTCACATCCCCCTCCCCTGTCCTCATGGGCTGTGGTATCTGGTGTGGGCTGATAGCCAGATACTCCCTCTTTCCCAGCTGCCTCTCATCCCACCCCCCATCCTCCCAGGCCAGCTGCCTCTCCAGTCTCCTCTCACCAACCACCCCCCCCAACGTCTAACTTCAATTCCCAAGGCATCAGTAGCCAATACTGCCAAACCAGCTTATACCCAGTGACACCTGGTCTCACCTGTGAAAGCACCCTAGGGCTTCCTACAGGCATCCACCTCCACTATCACCAACTCACAGCCACTCCTTGAAGTCAGCAGGGCAAGAACACTCATCTCCATTGCACGGATGTGGAAACTGAGGCCCAGGCAGGTGAGGGTGGGCACTGTGCATCCAGGGCTCCATTGAAGCCTACTCCACAGAGTGACATATTGGGGTGAGGGTCACCATAGGTTCCAGGTATACAGAGTCACCCATATTGGCACTCCCACACAAGATATAACCCAGGGTGGCTTCCATCCCAAACACCACACACAGGGACATCTCAGAACATGACATCCATCCATTCCACAGCAAGAGACAAGCACACTGTGTGGGGCGCCTGTTTCATGCTGAGCAAACCAGATTTGCTCATTCACACAAATCCCCAGTACTCCTAAACACACACACACACACACACACACACACACACACAGAGTTTGCATACGGCCTGTCATAGACACCCACACAGATGGATGGAACATACCCCCTCAAACACACAGAGACACAGAGAGACATCCCAGCCCCCCACAAATCCTTGCCCTGATACAGTCAACGCCATAGACTCAAGGTTGCTAACCACTTAGAATCACAGCAGAGTCACTCCACACAATGAAAGTCACAGAATGGGTCACAGAGTCACACCCCCAGTTACAAGGCGCTCAATGACAATCACACACATGAACACCCTCTCCACAGTCATAGGAGAGACAGCGTGCCACCCACAGCCTCAGCCACATGGTCAGGCCGGGATATATGTGACAGGGACTCGAAGCACACACAAAAGGCACCTAAGAGGAGACACCTGCCAGATTGCAAAACAGACACACAACATCAGAAAGAACACAACAGTAACTACAAAATGACAGATCACACAATTAGACACCAGCACACACACACACACACACACACACACACACACACACACACGGAAGCCAGTGCATGTTCTCTCTCTCTCTCTCTCTCTCTCTCTCTCTCACACACACACACACACACACACACACACACACACAAAATCAGTGGACACACCCGAACACATCACAGCCACACTACCAGTTACACAACCACACACCAACACGGGGCAGCTACACCATCATTCATCCACAACCACCCTTGCAGCACTGTGGCCTGGCTCTTGAGGCTGGGGGGGGGGTCCCCTCCGCCAGGTTCCCCTCCCCCAACCCCATCTAAAGCCCTAGATCGCCGCCTCCCTTCCCCCTAGCTGTCCCCCCCTCCGCAATGGACCCGCAGGGAACGGATCAGAAAGACCCATGTCCATGGTCTGGACCTGCGTGTCCAGGCTGGACAGCCCCCCGGGCTAGAAAGAGGGGGCGCCCACGCTTCTCCCTCACCCTGTCTAGGCCGCCGCCGCCTGAACCCTCCGCTCCCTCTAGACGGTCCCGGTGCCGCAGAACAGTCAGACAGATCGCTGGTCAGGCAGGCGGACACCGAGATGAAGTCTGGACCGCTGGACTTGCCGCTCCGCGCAGACTCCGTGGCCGAGGCAGGGGCGGGGCCACAGGGTGCCTTATTTGTATAACCCAGTGAGGCGGGGGCACGAGCCATCATTTGCATAACCCAGTGGAGGGCGGGCCCAAGCCTCTTTTTAGCCAGACAGGCGGGGCCACTGGGTTCTTCATTTGCATAACACAGATGGGCGGGGAGTTGTTAGCATTCCGGGGCGGGGCTATTAGCACTCATTTGCATAACTCAATGAGGCGGGGCTGGATGTGTAGGCAGAAATTAGAAGGGGAAAGAGTGGAGATAAGAGAGTAAGGACTAGGAAGGACTGGATGAGGGAAGAGAGCAGCTCAGCCTCTTCAAAGAACACCCTCTGGTACGCCTCTCCCCATTTGGCCTCCCAGCTCCATTTTTGTGTTGAGACAGGGTCTCAGGCAGCTCAAGCTGGTCTCCAGTTTTCTCTGTCGCCAAGACTATCCTTGAACATTGGATCCTCCTGCCTCTTCCTCCTTGAGTGCTGGAATTTCAGACCTGTTCCACCACATCCGGTTTGTATGATGGGGTTGGAACGCAAAGCTTCCTGCATGCTAGGCAAATGTTGTCCTGATTCTGTGTTTTTAACTTTTTAAAATTGCATTTATTTGCTGGGCAGTGGTGGCCTCATGCCTTTAATCCCAGAACTTGGGAGGCTGAGGCAGATGAATCTCTGTAAATCTGATGCCAGCCTGGTCTACAGAGAGAGTTCCAGGACAGCCAGGGCTAGAGAAACCCTGTCTTAAATTTTTTTTAATTACATTTATTTATCAGGATGTATGCTAGTGTGTATTTATAGGTTCGAGGACAACTTGCATGAATCAGTTCTCTACCACAGTGAGGGTCCCTGGGATTAAACTCAGGTCTTCAGACTTGGTGGCGAGTGCCTTTACCCAGTGAGCCATTTGGTCCAATTCTGTGTTTTTGAAACAAGATCTCCTGTGGCTCAGGCTGGTCCCATCATACTTGGCTGTGTTAACTTTAATGTGATATGCCTATTTCCACCTACCTCCCAAATCCTTGGATCACATGCCCAACTAACACACCCTAAATCTTGTCTCACTGTCCACACATCCTCAAAAGTGCCCAGTCTCTGCATCCTCTGAGATAACAGAGTTATCTGGGGTTGGCATGGAGAGGACCCCAGACTCTGGAACCAGCGGCTGCAAAGGCCCAGGGTGGAGGAAGGTCTCAGCTAGTTTATTTTCTCTCTGGAGGGGTCTTCAGGGCAAGCAGTCCCAGCTGCTCAAGCTACGGGGAAAGAAGGTAGGTCGTAGTCTGGTTTGAACCTGGAAAACTCAGGGTTGCCAGCCAGGGACCAAATGCCCAGTTAGAGTGCCAGCCTCAAGGCCTACACTGTGGGCCTCACAAGTGGGCCAGATGGTAAGGGGTCGAGAGGGGCTGCGTAGGGTCTGTACCGGGAGGGTAGGATCCACTCTTGCTGAAAGGTCTCTCCCAGTCAGAATCCGAGTCCCAGGAGGGGCACTGAGAACTTTGGCACTGGTGTCCTTTCTGGCCTGTGGAAGAGACATGCCATCCTGGCCCTTCAGGTCCTCAATATGACCCTCTAGCAACTTCAGAATATGGACTCCATATCCCCTGAGATGAAACCACACTGATTTATGATCCAGACACCCACATCCCTTTGGTGACCCAAAGTAAATTATATCAGTGACCCTTTAAATGTTTTCCTTAAAAGATCCCATAGAGGGCCAGAGAGGTGGCTCAGTGGTTAAAAGCACTACTGCTTGCTCTTCCAGAGGACCCAGGTTCAATTCCCAGCACCCACATGGTGGCTCACAACCCTCTGTAACTCTAGTTCCAGAGGGTCTGATGCCTTCTTCTGGCCTCTGAGGCACCAGGCATGCAGGCAGTGCACAGATATATTCAAAATACCCACAAACATAAAATGAAATAAAATAAAATACATCTTTTAAAAATTCCATTGAGCCAGGAATGGTTGCACACATCTGTAACCCCAGAATAGAGGAGGAGCAAGTAGGGGGGCTGGGAGTCAGGTCTTCCTTGACTACGGAGTAAGTTTAAGTCAATCTAGGCTATGTGAGACTATATCTCAAAAAAAGAAAGAGGGAAAAAAATCTCACAGATCCTAAATGTGACCCCAAAATGACTTGTGCATGAAACACCCAGGCTGGTCTTGAGTTTGAGGTCCTCTTTCACCCACCCCCTAATTTCTGGGGTTCTGCCTTCTACAAAATCTCAACCAGTCTCTCAGATATCCAATGTAGCCTTGAAACCCCAGGTTATGTGACCCTCCAAAGGTGACCTCCCCCATTACATTCGGGCCCTCACCCCTGAGACTGGAGGCCCTGGGTCTGGTGCCCATGGACAAAGCAATACAGTCGATGGAGCTCTGCAGACTGTGAACAGCAGACCTGTGGGGAGACAGAGAGACAGGGGCCCCGGGAGGTGCTGGGGTATCCAGGGTAGCTCTGAATCAGAGCTAGGGACAGAGTGGCTGAGGAAGGGATGATTCCTACACGTAGGAACCAACTGGGTTCCAGATGCAGCAGGTAGAGAGGCTGGTTAGAGGGGGTTAGGGGATCAGAAGTCACACCGGAAGCTAGCCTCACCATATGTCACTCAGCTCCTTCTGAAGGTCATCCTTACAGCAACCACTGCCTTCTGCGGGCACCCCCTCAGCCTCTGGCCATGAGGATGAATCAAATGCCTGCTGCTTCATCTTGGTAAGAACCTAAGGTTCGGGACAGGTCGGAGGAGCAAGTGATTAGACACACAAGTACTGGTGACCATAGGAAAAGGTAATCGTGATGTAGCACTTCAATTCCAGGCTGTATTGAGAGCATGGAATCCTCAGTGAGCACAACTATGGAGAGGCAAATCGAGCCCAGAGAGGCAAGGTGATTTGCCCTCAATCACACAGCATTAAGTGGCAGAGCTGAGCGTTGCCTCCTAGAGTCCAGCTATGGAAGCTAGAGGCCGCGCCCCCTGGCCCAGTGTCCCGCAGGCGCTCACTTTCTCCGCTCACCTTGCGGCACTTCACCTGTGTTTTTTGCATCTTCTGGATATTCAGGAGATTCTCTGAGATCTCATCCTCCTGGTCCTCTGTTGGGGAAGAGGTGTCAGTGAACAGGGGAAGCGAAGTAGCCCCGTACCCCTTCCAGGCTTCTAGGAACTCACGGAGCTTCTGATAGATGAAAGTCACCTCTTCCCGCACCAGCTCCAGTTCCTCCCACAAGAACTTCTTGCTGAAGGGAGAGAGGAGCCTAGACCCACACCCCAGGCCCAATCCCCAGGCCTCCATAGCCTCCCACGCCCCCATCTGCCCAGCACAACAGCCATAGACTCCTCCCACCGCCCTGTCTCCTGCCTCCTTCCCCATCCCACATCCAGCATGCTGTCTCTTCTCCCTAACCTTCCAAGTCTCTCAGACTCCTCAACACCCACTCTCTGGCCACCTATATTCTCTGAGTGTCCTTTCCTGTCCCCGTGTTGTGTCCTCCAAGCCTTCCACTCCCTGCTCTATTAAGTTCCTTCAATGGTGTCCTGCTTTCTTGAAACCTCCACGCTGTCCTCCTGCCCACACCCACCTGTCCCGGATCTCCTGGGCCAACAGCTGCAGGCAGCGAGTAGTACGGGCCCGTTGCAGTTCCTCACCTTCCTTCAGTGTCTTCTGCAACCCCCGCAGGCCTTGAGCCAGGGCCCCATACAGTTCCTGTCGGCCCTGCTCTGTGCTCCACTTACGGCTGTCTTTCTCTCCTTGGCGGCTCGTGGGGTTCAGCACTTCTGTAGAGGCGGTGGGATACTCTTGGTTTTATTTTTGTGTGTATGGATCTACATGGATCTACATGTTCACATGTTTGCGCAGGTGTGTGCACAAGTATACAGGCTGTGTGTGAGGTAGGGAGGTAATTCTCCACATCATCTTTTGACAGGGGTCTCTTACTGAACCTGAAGCTTGAAGATTCCGGTAGCCTGGCTAGCAAGGGAGCCCAGGATTCTTCCTATCTCCAACTCTGAAGAACCGGGATTAAGTGTGTCCCCACTGAGCCTGGCTTTTAAATAATAACAGAGCCATCTCCCCGGCCCCAGAATGTTTTTAAGTTTTAAGATTACTTATTTTTATTTTATGTGGCTTATGTTCTGTGGATGTTTTGCCTGGTGCCCATGGAGGCCAGAGGAAGGTGTCCTATTAGCTGGAATGGAAGTGATAGAGGGTTGAGGCTACCACGTGGATACTGGGACCAGAACCTGAGACCTCTGCACGACCAGCCAGTGCTCTTACCTGACAAGCCATCGTTCAGCCTGAGGCGTCTGGTCTTTTTTGTTTCTCAGACAATTCTAGTCAACTCCCTAATTAGATAACCTTGACTGATCCTCTTGCTTTTGTCCCCCAAGTGTTAGGATCACAGGTATACACCACCTGGTCCAGTCTTATTCCAGACTGAAGATGGAACCCAGAATTTCATGTATGCTAGGCAAGTGCCCTACCAACTGAGGCCCAGTCCCAAAAGGTGGAAAACTGGTGTGGGCCTGAGGCTAGCTGTGACCTCAGCTTTTTAGGCCTGTTTCCACCTTGACCTGGAACTTACTTTTCAGGCACCACAAACTTCCTCAGACCTTGGCCTTTGTTTCACCCTCACCTTCAAGCTGCTGGATCTTGATCTGTTGTAGACAGCTCTCCTTCTCCAGCATGGTCACAGAGTGGTTCAGGAACTCGAAAGCCTGGAGGGACAGGAGGTGAGGGCCTGGAGTGGGGAGGAGGATGAGAACAGGGGTGCAGAGGGTGGGGGGGGACTCACCTTGCTCTGAGCCTGCAGCTGGGTCCTGAGAGACTCCAGTTCACATCGCAAGAGCTTCTGAGAGTCAGGAATTAGCATGGTGTTCTTAACTGTGGGGAGAGGCAAGCGTGAGCCATGGCTGAGGTAAGATCAGGGCAGAGATGAGGGCGACCGAAGAGGAGGGGCAGCATAGAGCAGGAGACCCCCTTGAAGCATTTAATGAGCATGGGTCTTGATACTGGAGAAGAAGAAAGTGGAAAGTGGCCCTGCAGGGTAGTTCTGTAGGTAGGTGCTTGCCACTAAGACCGGTGACTCGAGTTTGATCCCAGGGACCCACAAGATAGGAGAGAACCAACCCTGGTAAGTTATCTTCTGACCTTCAAATGTGTGTCGTGGCACACACTCTCAAACACAGGGAGTAAATACAGAAGTAAAAATTAAATAGGGATAGAAACCCCTCCAGTCTCACGCTCACCTTTAATTTTGGAAGAGCTGGGCTCCAGGGACTTCTGGGGCAAGAGGAGAAGAGTGTGATAATGTGTCCTTAGATAGTTTAACTTACTGCAGCCCTACCTGGAGGGTGGGGCAGGAATGGTTCTCCTGAGTTCTGGTTATCTCAATCAGGCAAAACTGTCCTGGGGGCATTCATCCATGACCCCTACCCCAAAATTGATCATCTGCACATGCTCAGAAGTGCACTTGTGTACCTCATCTCTATGTCTGTGGGACACTGAGTTGACCCTGACATAAAACAGATACCAAGCTGTCCCTGGTTTGACCTTTCTCCATCAGAGTGGAAGACATCAACTACAGCAATGTCTATAATAAATACCATTAGCACTTACTTGACATACCACAAACTGTTGTTTGTTTGAGACAGGGTTTGTGCAGCTCTGGCTGTCCTAGAACTCACTGTGTAGACCAGGGTGGACTCAAACTCATAGAGATCTGCCTACCTCTGCCTCCCAAGTGCTGGGATTAAAGGTGTGTACCACAACCACCCAGCCACAAGCTATTATTAAACACAATCAGCCATACAAACACACAATTTTCATCACTAGTATGAGTCTCACACACAATAAGAAACCATATAGATACAAAACCAAGCAAAACCAACCAACCAAACAAACAACAACAACAACAACAACAAAATAACCCACAAAAAGCCAGACAGACATCCTCATGTCTGAAGAGATAGTTCAAGGTCTTTAAGGGGACCAAAATTTGGTCCCAGTGGTCCACCACCACTTAAAACTCTAGCTTCAGGAGATCCAATGTGCTCTTCTGGCCTCCACAGACACCTTGCATTAAAGTGCACATAACCACATAGACACACACACACTTGGGAGGCAGTAGCAGCTGGATCTTTATGAGTTTGACACTATCCTGGTCTACATAGCTTTAGACCAGCCTTTTAAAAAAACACATAATGTTTTTGAAGACCAAATTATCCAGGTCAGAAGGCTCACAATTAACTACCTGAACTTCAGCTCTAGGGATCTAATGCCCTCTTCTAGCTTCTCAAGGAATTGCACTCATGTACACAAATACACACACACACACACACACACACACACACACACATCTTCAAAAAATGAAAGTCAGGCCAGGCAGTGGTGGCACACCCCTTTAATCCCAGCACTTAGAAAACAGAGACAGGTGCATCTTTGAGTTCTAGACCAGCCTGGTCTACAGAGTGAGCTCCAGGATAGCCAGGGCTACACAAAGAAACCCTGTTTCAGAAAACAGAAAACAACCAACAAAGACCTAATGTCTCCATCCTAGAATCCTAGCATTCAGGAAATGTAGGCATAAGAAACAGGAGTTCAAATCCAGCTTTGGCTACAGAATAAACTCAGAGTCAGCTTGGGCTACAATGGACACTGTCTCATGGTAACAAGCAAAGACACACAGTTAGGAGTCCTCCGGGTGCTTCCTCACTCCCTCGCATGTGCCGAGTGCACACATCCAGCCCTGTAGACCCTTCCCTGTGCTTCACAGTAGAACACGGCAAGTTCATTCTTAGGTTAAGGAGGGTTCCCTAAGTGGGGGTAACCTTGGCTATGCCGTGGTTCCTCTTCACAAGGTCCTGGTCATGATATTCGTCCTTGCTCAAGTTGGAATAGGGTATAGCCTCATGAGACTGAGGTTCTGACTCCCACTCCTTCTGCCAGGCCACAGGCTTCACTGCTTGTTCAGAAGCAGTGTTCACAATCTCAGGCTCCAAGGTCCTGGACCAGTGAGTCATACAGGCCAAAGCCTTGTCTGAGGAGGACCCTAGGGGGACAAAGGTTTCCTTCAGGGACAAGTGAAAACGCTTGTAATTGTCAGCCCCTCCCAGCCCTCCAAATGTCTACCGGGCTCTCCAAGAGGTGGTGAGTACTTGCCCCTCTCCTTAGCAGGCCAAGATGTGATGGAGAGTGAGGGAGGTGAGCAGAGATGAGAGAAACAGTAGTCAGAGTCCCGGGATAGGCCAGCCAAAAGAGGGTCGCTGCAGAGGGGGGACGGGAGGAGCTCTGAGACCAGTCTCTAACTCCCGATCCTTTTATTTTAGCTAGATATTCTTTTGAGACAGTCTCATGTAGCCCAGGCTGGCCTCCAACTCAATATGTAGGTAAGGATGATCTTGAATTCCTGATCCTCCATCTTCCGCCTCCCCGCTGGCTTGGATGACAGGCGTGTGTCACTGCATCTAGTTTTTACAGTGCTGGGGATGGATCCCAGCTGCGTGCTTGCTAGGGAGATGCTCTACCAACTGAGAGCCAGCCCCAGACACCTAACCTCTTTAGAGTCTCCACAAAGAGACTCCTCAGAGATGTTTCAGCCAGAATCTCCTCAGTTTTGGCAGACGTGGAAACCAGACGAAAGGGGAACCCAAACCCAGACTTCCACGTAAACCCGAGGCCTTGGAGGGCTGGAGAGAGCAAACAGCTTGCCGCCATGCCTGACATGACTGTATCCCCCGTGGCCAGCTTGAAGGTAGGAGGAGAGAACCAACTCCACAAGGTGGTCCTCTGACATGTGTACAATGACACATGCACACTGAAGACATACCGCATGCACACACAAGAATAACAAAGTGTTATATTATAAAAGGGACATAAAGTAGTCACATGCCTTTAATCCCAGCACTCAGGAGGCAGAGACAGGCAAATCTCTCTGAGTTCAAGGAGGCTAGCCTGGTCTACTTGGTGACTCTCAGTCCAGTCAGACTGTCCAGGCAAGAGACCCTGTCACAAAAACCTTTTAAAAAATGGCTTGAGAGTTGATTTAGCTGCTTTTCCTGAATACCCAGGTTCAATTTCGCAGCACCGCTATGGTGGCTCACAACCTTCTGTGTCTCCAGTTCCAGAGGATTTGATCCCCTCTTCTGACTTCTACAGGCACTGGACATGAAAGCAGTGCCCAGACATATATACAAGCAAACCGTTAACAGAAAACAAAATTTAAAAATCTGAAACGAACAAACAAAACACATAAAGGACAGGAGGTGGCAGTTCATACCAGCACTCAGGGGATCCCTGAGTTTCAGGCCAGCCTAGTCTACAAAGCTGGTTCCAGGCCTGCTAGGGCTACCCAGTGAGAATCAGTCAGAGGGGAAAAACATTATATATACTCTATTGGGTTGCCCTGATTACACAGATTTAGCCCAGTGCTTGTAAACGAAAATTTGTTCTAGAATGTAACCTGAGGACCACAGATACCCTAGAAGATTAGAGCAGGGAAACGAAAGAGGCATTCCTGAGCTTCACCGCCAGAAGGTCCCCAACTGTGCCTGCCCTCCGCCAACCCCAATTGAGTCTTCTGCTGTCCCCTTCTCCGGAGAATTCTTCGAGCGAGGGGGCGTAACCATTTCTATTAGCCCTGCCCCTTGTTCTGTCAATCTAACACCGGGCCAGTCTCCCGATCCCCTCTTCCATCCCCACCTACTACCGCATACCACCTATTCATGCTCTCCCATCAGGGACCACGAAGCCAGTCCCAGCTGTGACGCTGAAGTTTTGATCCCCTGGGGACACCATCGTTGGAAAACTCGGGGAGGCCAAAGGTGGAGTCACAGAGAAGGGCGTGGTCCTCCCTTAAGCCACGCCCGCTCTCTCCGGGTCAGGCGCGGAGTTCATTGGCGCCTGAGCATCTACGGTGTGACTGGATGAAGTTCGGAGAGGCGAGATGGACGGATGATTCCCGCAAGCCAACTGGGCGATCCTTAAGTGGGTGAGTCCAGAGGAGTCAGAGCTGTGATCTTATTGGCTTCTGGTTGGTTGGGAGGTGGGGCGAGGCCTGCGGGGAGGAAGAAAACCTGGGAGAACTCAGGCAAGCCGGAGCTGCGCAGGAGCTGCCCGGGTTATTGGTCCCTACGTCTGACCTCGGGTGCGCCTACGGTGGGGTCATATGGGCGCTCCGGAGGTGCTTTGGGATGTTTCTAGGATATCTCGGGTTTGCGGATGAGCGTTCTTAGATGTCTGCAGAGCTAGGGTAATCTCTGAAGACCTAGGGATGTGAATTTGAGTTGCTGGGATTCAAGCTTTTGGGGTGCAGTGGACGTTGGGGGTTTAGAGACAGCCTTTTGTTCTAGAATTTTGGTTTGAGACAAGGCCACATGTATCTCTGGTTGGCCTCCAACTCCTGCCCCTCCTATCTCTACTTTTGTGCTGGAACGACAGGAGATAGCCAGAGCCTGTTTTACGCAGAGCTGGAGATGGAACGCAGGGCTTCCTGCACGCGAGGCAAACGCTCTGCCCGCATAGCCACTGGCCCAGCTGGAGCCTGAGATGTTTGTTTACTTATTTATTTTGAGATAGTCACACTGTATCTCAGGCAGTCCTCAAAATCAGTGATTTTCCTGCATCTTCCTCTGATATGTTGGGATTACAACTGTGAATCACCAGGCCAGTTTCTATGTTTTTAAATGCCTTTTGTAATCTTTTTCTAACCTTGAATTAGAGAAGTGCCTCCGCACTGACTCCATCTTCCAAGTGTTGGGGATTTACAGGTATGGGCCTTCATGCTGGGTGACATTGTTTATTTATCATTATTAGTATTATTTTGCAAGTATGGAGGGAGAAGAGAGTGTGAGGCCAACACCAACGAAGGCCCCGACCTCAGAGTCACAATTCCAGCCCCAAGCCTGAGCGCAGATAGACTGGTTGGGCTTGAGATTGTCTAGGGACTACTTTGGGTCGTCTTCCAACTGCCATTCCCAGTTTGTTTTCTCTCCTCTTTGCATCAGTATGAGGCTGGCCCTATGCACTCTCTACCAAGGCCTCAAGGCTAGGGGGCAAAGGTTGAAGGTTAAGCTGAGTCACCGCTGCTTCCTTCCCAGGGCGGCAAAATGGAAGACAGTGAGGATCCAGGAAGTCTGATTAAAGTGATCCACTTGCTGGTCTTGTCTGGTGCCTGGGGCATGCAGGTGTGGGTGACCTTTGCCTCAGGTAGGGACCCTCCAACCTGTTATTTAGTGTGAGGACTGAGCGGGAGGGGGATCCAGAAGTGTCCTAACCGGGTGTCTGTGGCCCTCCACCTCCCAGGGTTCCTGCTTTTTCGGAGCCTCCCGAGGCACACGTTCGGACTTGTGCAGAGCAAGCTCTTCCCAATCTATTTTCACGTCTCCTTGGGCTGTGCCTTCATCAACCTCTGCATCTTGGCACCACAGCGAGCCTGGATTCACCTCACACTGTGGGAAGTCAGTCAGGTATGAGGATTTGAGGTTCCCCAAGAACACTTAAGGAGACTTTGTTTAATTTCAGTGTGTGTGTTTGGATGTGTACATTCATGTGTACAACCATAGAAAGAGAGACCAGAGGTTGATGTTAGGTATCTTCCTCTCTCTCTCTCTCTCTCTCTCTCTATATATATATATATATATATATATATATATATATATATGACTTTTGAGACAGGCTTTCTCTGTGTAGCCTTGGCTGCTATTCTAGAATTCACTCTGTAGACCAGGCTGGCCATGAACTCAGAGATTAGTCTGCTTCTGCCTCCTGAGTGCTAGGATTAAATGTATGGCCACCACCACCCAACTTATTTATTTACTTTTGTTCTTCTGAGACAGAATCTCTCTACAGAGCCCTGGCTGTCCTGGAACTCACTATGTAGACCAGGCTGGCTTCCAACTCACAGACATCCACCTGATTCTGCATTCCAAGGGCTGGGATTAAAGGCTTATACCACCCCACCTAGCTTATTTATTTTTTTGAGACCGGGTCTCTCATTGAACCTGAAGCTCTAGCTGATTTGGTCAGAGAAGCTGGCTGGAAATCTCCAGGGATCCTTCTAGCTCTGTCTCCCCAGCATTGAGATTATAGGCGTGAGCCTCCATGCCTGGCCACTCAAATAAAACTGAACTCAGTCTCAGCAAGCAGTATGCTCTCTTAACTGATGAGCCATCTCTACATCCCCAAGGGATAGAGAGCCCAGGCTAGCCTCAAATTTGTGATTTTCCTGCTTCCACTTCTTTAGGGTAGCCTACCAGTGTGTGCCACCACCATCTGTTCAAGTGACATTGTTTTGAAAGGGACAAAGAAATGCCTCTTTTTCCTAGCAAAGACAGAACTGACCACTGGGTATCCTTGAATGGTGCACACATCCTGCATAGCTGCTCCCAGCAGCCCTCTCTGTCTAGCCTTATCTTCCCCACTAGCTCCTGTTTCCTCTCTGCCCAATACCTGGGCCTCCTGCCAAACTGGAGTGACTCAGCTGAGCCGAGACACTAACCTCAGTTCATTGTTTAGAAACTAGACGGACTGGGAATTTAGGTTTCCCTCTCTCCACACATTCTCTCAGCCAGAGTGTAAGGAACAATCCCTGCAGCTCAGCTTTCCCGCCCTCTCTCCCTCTGTTCTTGAAGTTTTCAGATGTGGGTGGGTGAGGCCTTATCTATGTTTCAAGAGGAACCCATCAGTCTGATGTGGTGGTGTACATACACACATGTTACCCCAGGAGGCTGTGCCAGGGAGATTGCAAAAGTTAGTAAGACTCTATCAAACAACAACAAAAACAAGCCAGGTCTATTGGTTCTTAACTTTAGTTTCAGCATTCTGGAGGTAGAGGCAGGAGATTTTCTGTGAGTTCCAGGATAGCCTGTTCTACATAGAGAGTTCCAGGATAGCCAGGGCTGCAGAGAGAGACCCTGTCTCAAAACAAAGGGAAACAAACAAAAACAAAAAAACCAATTAACTAAAAATAAAAATATAAATAAAAAGACCAAGGCCGATGTAGTGGAGACACCTAAAATCCCTGGCTTGAGAGGTGGAGGTCAGGAGTTCAAGGCCAGGGTCAGTTGCATAGGAAGTTTGAAACCAGCCTGAGCTACTGAGATCCTGTCTCAACATGCTCCCTCCAAAAGAATAATCTGGAGATCAGAGAGGATTATGGGTAACTGGTATTCCCCAGGTGTTTAATTCATTTCCTGTTGGTCCAGTGTCAGTTCCTTAGGTCTGAGATTGGATCACAGAAGAGATGGGTCCTATTTTGGGCTGTGTGTTTTTGAGCAGGTAGAATCAAAGAACAATTAGTGTTGTCTGTCTTAATTTTGGGGAGAGAAGATGGGTAAGCCCCTCATTCCAGCTGTTTGGGAGGCTTCAGCAGGTGGACTGCAAGTCTAAGGTCAGCTTTGGCTGCATAGTGAGTTCCATGCCAGCCTAGTTGACTTAGTGAGACCTCGTCTCGAAGTTAAAAGAGCAGAGGCTGGTTGGATGACCTGGAGAGAAGAGTGCTTGCCATGCAAACATGAGACCCAGGTTTGAGTCCTCAGCATCCATCCAAACGCCAAACACAGAGGTGGTACCCAACATGGGAGGGGGTGGGAGTCAAAGGTGGAGACAGGCAGATCCCTGAAGCTCCTGGGCCAATCATTCAGCCTAGCTTCATGAGGAGGTTCCAGGATCCGTGAGACACTATCTTAAAGACTAAGGTGGACGGTTTAGCGAGCTTTCAAGCCTGGTGACAATCTGAGTTGGCTCCCTGAGGGTCTATATAGTGGAAGAAGAGAAATGACTCTCTCAAGTTGTGGTCTACTCTGCGCATACATACTATGGCATACACACACGCATGCACACATGCAAATAGGTACATTCAATAAATTAAAAGAAAACAGAAAAGAGTAGAAAGACCAAAGGCAACTTCTGCCCTCCACAGAAACACATGCACCTGGTAGCACGTGTTGCACACATATGAACATGTGTACCTGTGAGCATGTGTTGCACATATATGAACAAGTATATATACCACATCTGCACAGGAGGAAAGAGGGCAGGGTGTGTAGCTCAGTAGTAGACACTTACACTTTGATTGAGGCCCCGGGATCAATCAGTTCTCAGTACTAAAAAAAAAAAAAAAAAAAAAAAAAAGGTTTTGTTTTGAAGAGGTTTCTGTATTCAGGGAACAGCAGCAAAGCAGATGGAAAAAAAGACCGTAGATAGATAGATAGATTCTTTCCTAAGGACTGCTGTTTTCAGGGAACTCTCTGGACCGTGGGGGCGCAGGCATGCCCTCTCTTGGGTCCCCTCAAGCTTCTCAGCCCCCTCACCTTACCTCCCTGTCACTCTGTCACTGTCCTCAGCTAATCCTACTGCTTCTGAGCCTCACGCTGGCCACCATCAATGCTCGCTGGCTCGAGGCTCGAACCAAGGCCGCCATGTGGGCCCTGCAGAGTATAGAGAAAGAGCGAGGCCTGGGGACAGAGGTGCCGGGCAGCCTCCAGGGCCCTGACCCCTATCGCCAGCTGCGGGAGAAGGACCCCAAGTACAGTGCTCTACGCCAGAAATTCTTCCACTACCATGGCCTGTCTTCCCTCTGTAACCTGGGGTGTCTGCTGAGCAATGGGATCTGCCTTGTGGGCCTTGCCCTGGGGCTCAGGAGCCTCTAACATGGACCCTATATGTCAATAAATGCTTCTTTGGAGATGGGTGTAGTCATTTTTTTCACCCCAAGAGAAGCCAGGGTGGTGTGGGTGTGTGTATGTGTGTGTGCATACATGTATGCACTTGTACAGCACTCAGAGCCTGGTGGCATGACACATTGGAGTGTGAGCTGTTGATGTTCGAGCATGTTTCCTCTAATTGTGACATGTATTGTGTGCCTTCTGTATACCTGGCTCAGTTCTAACCACTGCCCTTCCTATGTGTGACTGCAGTAACAGCAGGTTCCAGCCTCCCAGGAACAATCATATTTCCTATCCTTCTGACACTGGGAGTGACGTTATGACTTCTTTTGGCTGATGAGATGTGAGCAGAAGTGGCGTGGCTTTATAAGAAGTGTTTATGGACTGGAGAGATGGCTCAGCAGTTAAGGGCACTAACTGCTCTCCCAGAGGTCCTGAGTTCAATTCCCAGCAACCACAGGGTAGCTCACAACCATCTGTAACGGGATCCGATGCCCTCTTCTGATGTGTCTGAAGACAGTGACAGTGTACTTGTAAAAAACAAATAATAAATGAATCTTTAAAAAAAAAGTGTTTACAAGACGGGATAAAACTTCATCTTTCCTCAGCCCGTAGCATCCATCCCGAGATGTGAGCCTAGGTGAGTGATATCCTGGAGGCTTTGGGAGCTGCGTGTTTCTGACAATAACTCAGCTTTTCCTAGCTAATACACTCCAGCACAGCTCTGGAGTGCGGCTCTGGAGGCCGCTGTCACTCCCTTAGGCATCTGGGTGAGCAGAGGAGTTCAAGTGGCTGTGTGTATATGGTGTGTGTGTCTGTGTGTGACTGTGTCTGTGTGTGTGTCTGTGTATGGTATCTGTGTATGTCTGTGTGCGTGTGTGTCTGTGTATGTGTGTGTATGGTATGTGTGTGTGTATGTACTGTGTGTGTGTATGGTGTGTGTGTGTATGTCTGTGTGTGTTCTAAGGCAGGGTCTCTGGCTCAAGCTGACCTGGAATTCTGTGGCCCAGGTTGGCCTGAAATTCTACTGCCTCTGCCTCTCCTGTGTTAAAACTACAGGTATGAGCTTAATATCAATCTATATTTTTGTTTTGAGATAGATTCTTACTATGTAGCCAGTCTGACTTGAAACTTACTATGTGGCCCAAACTGGCCTCAAATTCATGGCAGTCCTCTTGCCTCAGCTTTCTAGTACTAGGGTTACAGATATACACCGTTTCATCTGTACAGACACACATGCAGACACAACTTTTGAGTATGATCTTGAACTCCAAATCTGTCTTCCTCCACCTCCCAAATTCTGGGATTACAAATGTAAGCCACCATACCTAAAGGTCTGTTTGTTTGTTTGTTTGTTTATTGTATGTGGAGGTCAGAGGACAACTTGTGGGATTGGTCCTTCTGTTGGTCCCTGGAACCCTGTCATCAGGCTTAGTGGCAAATGCCTTTACCCACTGTTCATTTAGATTGTTTTGAATTCCAAATCTTGCTGTGTGGGCTCAGGTAAATATCAACCTTTCTTTGATCCTCAGTTTCCTTATTTCTAAAACATGTTTTAACTTCAAGAGCCCTTAAGAGTGTTAAACAGAATCTAGCACCCTTTACAGCAGGGCACTTAGACTCCTCCCACGTGGGACAGGGAGTATGCCTAAGATTCAGGAATCCCCAACACTGAAATGAAAATGGGCTGGGGACATAGAGTGCTTGCTTAGCATATAAGAAGCCTTGGGCTCCATCCCTAGCACCATGGAAACCAGCATAGTTTTGTGTACCTTCAATCCCAGACCTTGGGAGGTGGAGCCAGGAGAATCAGTTTGCATTTATTCTTGGCTCCATAGAGTTTGAGGCAAGCCTAGACTAAATGAGACTTTGTCTCGAAAAAAACAAAAAACAAAAAAAGTAAAATATTTTTCGACTTGTAAATTTTATTTTACATGAGCGTTATGTCTGCACCACGAGGGCTCTTGCAGTTTGATAAAATAAGGGGAGGGGTCAGGTCCCCTGGAACTGGAGTTAGGAGATCTTCGTGAGCCCCCGGCCACCGTGTGAGTACTGAAACTCAAACTCACATCTCCAGCAAGAACAAGTGCTTTTTACCGCTGAGTCATCTCTCCAGCTCCCAATATTAAAAGAAATAAAAACATGGTTCCACAAGTCTTGTTATGAACCACTTGGCAGATGGAAAAATTGAGGTTGAAAGAGGTTAAGTATGTCCGGAGTCACAGTCCTAGAAAGGGGAGGCGGGACTAGAACTCAGCTGCTGAGGTTTTCCTCTTAACCACAGAGTGCATAGAAGATATTTTCTATCTGTAGTTAGGAAAGAGAGGCTCTGATGTGACTTAATACCTCTTCCCGCTCCTCTGGGCACTAGCTCAGGACCACACAGTCGCCCTCCCAGACCCCTACGACCCCGCACCTCGCCCCCACCTTACTACCAGGTCCCACCCCCTCGATTCCCCGCCCACTTCTGACGCCTCTTGAGGTGGTCCCTCCCCTACCAGACCCCACCTCCGCTTTCAAGACTCGCCCACTCCGCTAGGACTGTTGCGGCATCCCTGTCTCCGACAGGCCACGCCCATCTCCTGGCTCTGCGGGCGGCGCCCCCGCCCGTGAGACCACGCCCACCCCCGGGCGCCGACTCTCACGACGCCCGCCCCTTCTAGGCCCCACCCGCGCACCTCTCCTTCCCTCGCTACGGCCTCGCCCCCTCCACCTGGGCGGAGCCGGCGCGGGATCCGGGTGTCAGTGTTGGCAGCGGCGGTGGCTGTGGGGCGAGGGTCGCAGCCCTGTGCGGGCCGTAGCAACTTCGTGGGCGGATCCTGGTGTGCGAGGCGGGACCCGAGGTGAGCCCAGGAGCCAGTGCACCAGCCAACCGGCCGATTTCACGCGTGCACTATGACAGGGTTGAACTGGGGTCTGCGCGAGCTTGGGTCCCGCACACCCAGTCGGCGCTGCTGGCTCTTCTGGGTTCCCCGCACCCGGCAAGCTCTGCGAACGGTGGCGGGGTGGGCGAGAAGCCCAGCTGGGAGCCGAGCGAGGGCGCCATATGGTGATGGGGGAGGCACTTGATGGTGCACGCTGTGCAGTGACAGTTCGGATGCCAGCCCTGAGGGCCAGGGGACCCCTAGATGGCCCGGAAGAGGTGCTGTGGTGGGGCGGGAGCCAGCCTGGAGGCCCTGCCCGACGGACGCTTTGCAGTCCCTTTTCAAACCCGTTCTCCCGGAACACAGGGTGGGGTTGGCTGCGTTCTCCTTAGAAATGCACCGGACAGAGAAACAGAAAACACCAAAGGCCGTTGAGAAATACTTTTGCTTGGGCTGTGGAGAGCGACTCTAAGCTAGACAGCTGGAGAAAGTGAAGCGGGGGCCGGGGGGGGGGGAGTGGGGGAAGGGCTTGAAAGGGCACCCTGGATTCAGATAAAACAGCATGCTGGAGTGTGGGTAGATATAAACAGCAGGATATGGGGTGGTGGGTTTTGTGATCATTAAGTGGCTAGGATAATTCTCTTGGATTCGATGAGTTTCAGTCCTGTCTCCGTAGACCATGGCTGTGGTGAGTCAGCTTTGGCCAAGAGGGAGTCAGGCCCGGCCTCTTTGACAAATAAAATGGCAGGTACCCACTCCAGAGTCTAACTGGGCTTAAACCTTATGCTATATTTATAGAAAATCCCCTTACCCTGGCGGACAGGGAAAGCGTTAAAGGGACTTGGAGAGGACAGGCACCCCAGTGGTAGGCACCAGCTAAATTCAACATCCAGGCCCTGATCCAGGCCCTGATGGAAGGGGCTCTGTCTAGCTGGCAATCACCCCCACACACACACACACCTGGCCATACCAGCTGCTTGCACTGGGCAAAGTCCAGCTTGCAGCCCGTGCAACTTCCTCACTACCACGCCCCCCACCCCCAACTGGCCCTGAATGTTCACCTGTTACCTGGTCCTGCACCTGAAGGGAGAAGATCAGTGCCTTCCACTAGAGAGGTTCAATTTTTTGTTTTTCTCTTCCTTCCTTCCTTCCTTTCTTTCTTTCTCTCTCTCTCTCTCTCTCTCTCTTTCTTTCTTTCTTTCTTTCTTTCTTTCTTTCTTTCTTTCTTTCTTTCTTTCTGAGACAGGTTCTCATATAGTCCACCCCAGTTTGGTACCAAACTTCCAATGTAGCACAGGATGGCTTTGAACACCTGATACTCTCTGTCTCTATTCTGTCGTGCCTGAATTACAGGTGTGCACATCACACCTGGTTTACTGGGTGCTGGGGCTGAAATCTCAGATGAGTCTAAGTCACCCCCAGCCTCAGCTTCACCTTTGTGTAAAGATTGAACAGCAGCCACAGCCCTGGAGCTGCGGGGTTGCTCTGTCTCTGCACAGCTGTCTCTCTTCAGAGATCAGTGCCCGGTGCAGAGAAGAACTCAGCAGAAGTTTGTTGGTGACTATAACAAGAATCATTAAGACGGGCCCAGTGGTGCACACCTGTAACCCCAACTGCAGAGGCAGGGATCGACCACACGAGGAGTCTGAGGTCGGCCTGAGCTACCTGAGACCTTCCCTTAAAGAATGAGAAAGGAGAAAATGAAGAGGAGTGGAGAGAGCTCAGCTGCTAAGCGAAGCTCTTTCAGACAACCTGACTTAGATTCTTAGAGCCCAGGTCAGACAGTTTACAGCTGCCTGTAACTACAGCCCTGAGGTGGAGGTACATACTTGTCAACCCCATACACTAGTCACATATGGAGCCCTAGTTTAGCTCCATAGTGAGACCTGTCTCAATAAATAAATAAATAAATAAAATTTAAAACTAGGGCTAGAGATGGCTTTGTGGGGAAGGCACTTGCTGCCCAGCCTGATGACCTGAGTTTGATCCCAGACCCACATGTTGGGAGAAGTGATTCTTGAAACCAATAGGCCCATAGACTTGCTCGTACAGAACCCACCCCTTACAGGATTCCACTATTTCACAGCAGGATTTCCAGCCTCCCCTCCAAGCGGATCCCACCAAGATGGCGTCCGCTAGTGATCCCCCTGCTAGCCCAAGGGATGCTGCTGACCAGAACTTTGACTTCATGTTCAAACTGCTCTTGATTGGGAACAGCAGCGTGGGCAAGACCTCCTTCCTGTTCCGCTATGCCGATGACTCCTTCACCCCCGCCTTCGTGAGCACAGTGGGCATCGACTTCAAGGTCAAGACAGTCTACCGACATGACAAGAGGATCAAGCTGCAGATTTGGGTGAGCTGAGTAGCTCTGTAGGGAGTGGGAGGGCAGTCAGTAGAAAATCCCACCAGACACAGAGGAGCTTGGGGCAGGGATGCGTCTTTTGTCTCTGAGGGAAGCCCACCAAGGTGTGGGAACATACCTCCCCTGGGTGTCCTGAGGAGGGACATGGTAGACAGAAGGCACTTCTTGGAAGTGTCAGTGACTAGTGAGGAATAATTTGGGAACCATCTTGACTCCCATGAGGCTGCTATGCTCAGAGCATACCCGGTCGGTCCAGCTGTTGATATCATCACGGTAACAAGGGAACCAGAGACAGATCCAGGTGATGGCCTGAGGCCCAGATGGCTCTTCCTTGTGACTATTCCATGGATTCTTGGAAACGAGGTTAGGAAGCTCATAAATCGGGGACAGCCCTGCAGAGCGGAGAGCATGCAGGGCAGAGCTGAGTTAGCTGACTGAGTTTTCAAGGTGGGACAAATGGTCCTGGTGCTACATGCCTGTAATGTTTCCCATCAGGCTGAGTCCTGAGGGCAGGGTCATACCTGCCCATCAGACTGGGCCATGAGGGAGGACCAGTTTTCCTCCAATCAGATTGGACTGTGAGGGCGGGGCCATACTCCCCATCACACTGGGCCTGTGAAGGAAGCGCCACTCTTCTCCCATGAGATTGGGCCACAAAAGTAGACCTGTGTCCCTTTCAGGGTCTTGCAGGGTCAGGTGGGGAGCAGGTGGTCCCTACCTAGCTGACTGACTGCTGTTTGCCCAGGATACAGCAGGTCAAGAGCGCTACCGGACAATCACTACAGCCTACTACCGCGGGGCCATGGGCTTCCTGCTCATGTACGACATCGCCAACCAAGAGTCCTTCACCGCTGTGCAGGACTGGTAAGCACTGACCAACCACTGACAGGCCCCGCGTCTTTGCTCTCCCCTTTCCGATCTCTAACCTCCCTCTTGATGTCCACAACTCCACAGGGCTACGCAGATCAAAACCTATTCCTGGGACAATGCCCAGGTCATCCTCGTGGGGAACAAGTGTGACCTGGAGGACGAACGGGTCGTACCTGCTGAGGATGGCCGGAGGCTCGCTGATGATCTCGGTTAGTGCCCCACCCGAGCCACAGGTCCTGTCTCCTATCTCCATACCCTTGTCTCCACCCTTGAACCCCTGACCCACAGTGGTTACCTGAGGCTCTGCGGGCAGGGGGCAGATAGCCGTGTGTCAGGGCTGCGGGATAGTGTAATGGGTGAGTGAGAATGCTTTTGTTGTGCAACCATCAGGCTCTGTTTTAGAGACCCCAGAACCCGCATAAAGGAGACACACACATACATACACACACACACACACACACACACACCTGCCTTCATGCCTGTAATCCCGGCACTGTGGGGAACTGGGCTGAGGATCACTGGCACTTGCTGGCTGCTCCGGTAGCTTTAGTTACAGTGAGAGACCCCATCTCAGTGTAATGTGTGAGATAGCAGGGCCCCTGACGTCATTTCTGCCTGCAGTAGAGACTCGTATACCTGCACACAAGTGTGCACCAAACATGTACCCCGAGATAACACATAAACATACCTGTATATAAGCCACGTTCTCCCATTTAGGGGATTCATGTCTCGTCCTGGGAACCCAGCAGCTTGACCCTGGTGACCTCTTCTCATTTTTCTTTTAATTTCTATAACGGGTATTAACATCCCATAGTTTTTATTTTTGTTGTTGATTCGAGATAGGGTCTCACTGTGTAATCCTTGTTGGCATGGAACTCAGTTGTGTAGACAAGGCTAGCCTCAACATCACTAGGGACTCACTTGCCTCTGCCTTCCAAATGCTGGAATTAAAGGCGTGTACTTACTTGTCCAGCATCTACTACCTATTTTCTATGCGTTCCGAAACTGGAGTGCAGTAATTCTGATTTTTTTTTCAATTGGTTTGGTTTGGTTTGGTTTGGTTTGGTTTGGTTTGGTTTGGTTTGGTTTGGTTTGCTGAACCCAAGGCTGCCTTCACATTAAGCAGGCACCTACTACTGAGCAACACCACCAACCTAGATGTTTCACTTTATTTATTTGTTTGTTTGTTTGTTTATTTATTTATTTATTTGGACAATCTGACTAGCTCAGGCTGAACTTTGAACTTGTGATCCTCTGTCTTAACCTCCCAAATTGTTGGAACTGCAGGCTTCCCTTTCATTCAGGATATTGATTTTCGTAGGATTTCCCTGTAAAGATCCGTGTGTAGTGGGTCTCCCCTAAATCCTAAATCCTACCTAAATGTTGCAGGAACTTGCAACCAAGTTGCCATGAGGTGAAGGTTAACCAGGATACATAATAAGGCGCTCTCTTAAGCAGACAAACAAGTGCTAGAGAAGTGGCTCGGCAGTTAAGAAGATTTTCTGTTCTTGCAAAAGACCTAGGTTCAATTCCCAGCATCTATATGGCAACTAGCAACTGTTTGTACATATATTCAGTAAGGCACACATACATATGCATAAAATAAATTTTTTAACAATTACTTATTTATTATATGTAAGTACACCGTAGCTGTCTTCAGACACACTAGAAGAGGGCATCAGATCTCATTACAGATGGTTGTGAGCCACCATGTGGTTGCTGGGAATTGAACTCAGGACCTTCGGAAGAGCAGTCAGTGCTCTTAACCGCTGAGCCATCTCTCCAGCCCAAAATAAATTTTAAAAATTAAAATAAATTAATAAACATAAAATCCCCAAGTGTTGTAGGGTATGTGTAGCTCAGTTGGTGAGCATGGTCGCCTGCATGCATGAGGCCCAGGAGCTCACCTCCAGGATCACATACAACAGGTGTGTGGTATTTGCTTCTCATCCCAGCATTCGGGAAGCAGAGGCCGAGGCTGAGGGTCAGGTTCAAAGTCAACCTAAGCTACAAAATGAGTTCCAGGCCACACAGGGCTCCACGAGACCCTGTTAGAACCAAAGAAAAGATACTTTTGAAGGCAGAGGTTCAAGGCTGCCTGGGCTGCATTGCAAGTTGTAGATCTGATGAGACTCTCTTAAAAATGAGAGAAAGAGAGAAAGAAAGAGAGAGAGAGACAGAGAGACAGAGAGGGATCCAAAAACCAAAAGAAATATGAAGATGAGTTCGAGGCCAGCCTGGTCTACAGAGTTAGTTCCACGACAGCCAGGGCTATACAGAGCAACCCTGTCTCGAAAAACAAAAATCAAAAGAAAAATAAAAAAACAGAAACAAAAAAAGAAATATGAAGGATGCAGCCATGTGAGGGAGGGTTGACACATTGATAATAAAGCACCAGATTTCCCTGAGAAGATAGTAGAGCAGCACAGATTTCACCGGGTATGTAAGAGCTGAGTTCATGCACCCCATAATATTTGCCATTCAGTCACTCAGTGAGTGGCTTCTGAACATTTCGTCAAGGATGCAGCTTAGCAGTAGAACACTTGCCCATAATCACCCAGTGAGGGGGCCGAGGCCGTGGCTCAGGGGTAGAGAGAGCCTGTGTCTAGAATCCCTCAGTGAGGGCCTGGCTCCCTGGTAGAGGAGCTGACTTCCCCTGGTTTCCAATCCTGCACTGAACAATACCCCAGTCACTGCCTTCTCCAAACATGCCTTACACCAGGGACCAAGAGCTACAGGAAGAGCCACGCCTTCCTTGGGCTGTTCCATTCCAGTAACAGAGGTGACTATGAAGTGGAAATCATCACTCACCTAATCAGGATACACTTAATTCTAGAAATCTGATGGACTTTCTCATGCTAAGCATCTTCTTTCCCTCCAGCTCCAGCTTCCCATTACGTCCTTCCTAAGCTGGGGGTTGAGAGATGGCCTCAGTATAGCCCAGGCTGGCTCTGAGCTCTCTCATTCTCTTGTCTCAACCTTATGAATCCTGCAATTACAAGCGTTTGCCATTATGCCTACACACACACACACACACACACACACACACACACACACATGCACACACACGCACACACACATACACATTAAAAATGTACTGATTTAATTTTTATGTCCCTTTAAAATTATCTATTACTGGTGTGCAGCGCAGTGCACGTGTGGAGGTTAGAGGACAGCTTCAGCCTTCCCTGTGTCTCCCAGGGCTTGAACTCAGGAAGGTGATTTCTCTTTCTATAGAGGGTCTAACCTCGTAGCTCAGGCTGACTCTGAAGTCAGAAGTCTCCCTGTTTGACCTCTCTCCTGCAGAGACTATGCGTGTGTGCCGTGCCCTAATTTTATTGGATTCGCATGTGCGTGTGCATGCAAGTGGGGGCCAGAGGACGTCAGGTGGAGTTTTAGGGAACATCCACCCTTTCTCTGAAGCAGCGCATCTGGAACTCCACAAGTAGGTTAGGCTACCTAGCTAGCAAAATCCAGGCACCCATCAGCCTTCTGTCCCAAAGCATGAGACTGCAAGCATGTTCTACCACACCTGGCTTTTTAAAACGTGGAGGGGGAGGTAGTGGGGATCTGAACCCAGGTCCTCATCCTTACAAGGCAAGCACTTTACCATCTGAGCATCATCTCCGTGGCCATCAGAACACTGCTTTAAATTACAGTTTTTATCCCCCCCCCCATCACTTCCAGGGGCAGGGTGAGAGACAGTGTTTCTCTGTGTAGCCCTGGCTGTCCTAGAACTCACTCTGTAGACCAGACTGGCCTTGAACTCACAGAGATCCATCTGCCTTTGCTCCTGAGTGCTGGGATTAAAGGTGTGTGATACTGCTGCCTGGCTTCTCTTTTTTTAAATGTATATGGGTACTTCGTCTGCATATATACCAGAGCATCATGTACTACAGACATCAGATCCCCTGGAGCTAGAGTTACAGATAGTTGTGAGGTATTATGTGGGTGCTGGGAATTGAACCCAGGTCCTCTGGAAGAACATCCAGTGCTCTTAATGGCTGAGCCATCATCTCTTTAGCCCCATTATTTATTTAGTGTCTCTGGGTGAGACATACCCATACACACACACGCACGTGCACACACACACATTGTGTGTGTGTGTGTGTGTGTGTGTAGGTCTTGTAAATTTGGGGGATTAAACTCAAATCATCAGACTTAATAACAAATACCTTTACCACTGAGCCTGTCTTCTGAAGACTCGTAGCTGGGCATGGTGGTGTAACCTGTAATCACTGCACTCTGACAGTTGAGGCAGGAGGATTGCAGAGTTGGAGGATCTATGAACTATTTCAACATTGCTACACAGTGAAATTTTTTCTCAGAACTTTAAAGTGGTTGACAGAGGCTGGGAAGGATCTACAGTTTCAAACAATCAGGCAGTATACACGTGTCATCCTGAGGAGCTTACCAGTCAAGCCTGCTTGATGACTTTTAAGTCATTGAGAGACTCTGCCTCAGAAAAATGGTGATGGCAGCCGAGGGACAACACACTCACACACACACATATGCACCCCACATACACATGTGAATCCACACACATGTGTATCCCCACAAGTGCACCCACATACACGTGCACCCACATACACACATTCACACACATACACACACACGTGCACACACACACACAGCAGATCAGGCAGGAGTGAGCTCAGAAGATAGGTTTGAACAACTCCATTTTCTAGGTCCAGCCCCCTGGGACTCATATGACCGTCCGAACTGTCCCCACCTTCTTCCCATCCAGGTTTTGAATTCTTTGAGGCCAGCGCCAAGGAGAATATCAATGTGAAACAGGTGTTCGAGCGCCTGGTGGACATCATCTGTGACAAGATGAACGAATCCCTGGAACCCAGCTCCAGCCCAGGCAGCAATGGAAAAGGCCCGGCCCTCGGGGATACCCCACCCCCACAGCCGAGCAGCTGCGGCTGTTAGGTTCGGCCCCTGACTGCCCCACACCTGTCCCGTCTTGCCCCTTCAAGGACAGCAGCCACGGTGTGAGCTACGGGGCTGTCTCAGAGCTCAGGGCACCCTTGCCTCTGGCCCGCTTCTCCTCTCACACAGGCTCGTCTCCCTTTCTCTCCATGTCAGGATGCTCAGACAGTCCTGGTTAGGGTCCACTCACCCGGGGCTCTGCTCAGCATTGTCTGAGGGCTTGGGACACCCACATGGGTGCTTACTGCTTCCCAAGGCATTTGGATGGAGATAGCAAAAGGCAGCATTGCCTTCCCCAGGTGATGGAGGGGCTGTTCGTGCCTTCTGCCTTAGAACCATTTCCCAGGTCTACTCTTTGTAATTGTTGGCTGAAGATGTCGCCTGGTGTGGGTCGCTGTCCAACTTAGTCCTGGCAGCCTGTCTGTCTCAGGTCCACCAGTTTGGCCTTGAAGCCTGCCTGTGAACTGACTGTTTGTTAGCCAAGGATACAGGCAGGCCTGCCGTCTCCATCCTCTGCCTCCCTGGCATCCCCTGGAAAGCCTGTTTTCTGATTATAGAAGGGACAGAGTCAGAGCCACCCTGGCACCGGGGACTCTCCAAAGTGCCTTCCAAGCTTCCCCTGGGTCTATGCTACTCATTGTGGGTTGATCCACTTCCAGAATTAAATTTTGGAATATTCCAGACCCTGTCACATGGAGACTGAGAATTGCCCACCCTTAGCAGCCCAGCTTTCTGTCAGTTCACCTCAAAGCCAGGGAACTGAGGCTGCCTGCCCAGGTCCCCATCTGTCTGCCTGGTGGGGTTTTAGGCAAGAGCTTTACAAACCTTACATCCTGTGTAGAAACGGAAGTGAAGAAAGCAGCCCACAGAGGGTGTGCCCTTGCTGGTCAGTTTCTCATGACAGGATTTGGGCTTCTTCACCTGAGGACTCTTGTATAGACCTAGTGTCAGCATCATGAACACCATCAGTTGCCCAGGGACACTGGGGTGGTGAGGAAGGATTGGGGAGAAGGCACCAGTGGACAACCCAGTGTTTTTGTTTGTACGTCATGGGAGCAACAGGCCCTCCTGTGAGTTAGGGATAGGCTGCGGGTTGTTGCTGATATATCTACAAGCTTGGGACGTAACCCCTAGGATCCTTGATTCTCTTCAACTAGGAGGTCTTTCTACTCACCAACCAAACTCCCCTAAACACCATCTGACATCTCATGGTCCAGGTGATAGATGGTCTGTGTCATGTCAGGGGTGGAGTGTACTCCTTCAGTCTCCACAGCCAAACTCACTTTGCAGCCTTGTTGAGCCTAGCATCCTCCCAGGGTATGTATGACCTACAGTGCCTACTTCAGGTTCACGTGCATTTCTAGCCCTTCCAGTGACCGTCTTTACACAGATTGGACAGGCAAAGTGAGAGCATCTGAACACTTAGAGGAAAGAGTCAAATGTTTTTATGTTGCTTTATCATTAAATAGTCAAAACGGTGAAAATTATGTTCTTAAGATTCAGCAACCTGTTGGGTGTGGTGGTGAAGATTTTTGATCCCAGCACTCTGGAGGCAACGGCAGGTGGATCTGTGAGTTCCAGGGTAGCCTGGTCTATAGAGCAAGTTCCAGGACACAGAGAAAACATGTTCTGGAACTAGCTCTCTTGCTAGCATTTGCCACAAGGTCCTGACTTGAAGGCCCAGCACCACACAAACTAGGCATGTGGTCCAGGGATGTCATCCTAGTAGAGGCAGGAGAATCAGAAGTTTGGGGTCACCTTTGAGTACTATCTAGGAGGTTTGAGGCCAGCCAGAGCTATAAAAGGCTGTCACAGAAAGAAAAAAGAAAAGGCCTGTCAAAGACTCTGTGGACCAGTCAGTCCACTGTTCCTAAGCATAGTGGTGGGGAGCCTGCCCTTAGTTAGCTAAGGCTGTTCCTGTCATTTTGTGTCAACTAAATCACCTCTGACTGACCTCTGACTGGATCTTGGACTTACTCTCAGCTTCCTGTTGCTAGAAGAAGCTCCCTCAGTTCTACTCTGAATACCAACAGAGGAAACCACTTTGTGGTTTTCTTACAACTGGGGATTTAGCTGGCAGAGTGGCTCATCTGAAAACACTTGCCACCAGGCGCAATGACCTGAGTTAGATCTCGGGATCCATGAGGTGGAAGAAGAGAAATGGTTCCTTTAAGCTACCCTCTCACCTCCATGGTGAGCAAGGGTTCATGCACAATGTCAAACGAAACCTTTTGTGGAAATGGAATAATGTGGAAACTGTTGTTTCTTCTTCCGATGAAGGGTTACTGGAACATTTTGATTCTTCCATTACGTTTTGGCAAGGATGGGTGAGGGGGTCACTGAGTCAACAGAGGCTGCTGTCTGTGCAAATGGCCAGGAGGTATAGGAGCCTGTTGGGTTTATAGACAGAAACGTTGCACAAGGCCTAGGGAATACTTCTGCAGAAGGCCCAAGAGTAGCCAGCCTATGGAACCATACCCCTGTGTCCTCCCAGGGAGGAATGGCCATGGCTGCAGTGGTCTGATGGTCTGGGATTTTTAGGTTTGGTTTTTGGGTTTTCTTGTTCTTGTATGAGGGACTCATGATGTAGACCAGGCTAGCCTTGAACTCACAAAGATCCACCTGCCTGTGCCTCCTTAGCGCTGGAATTAGAGGCATATATAATTATGTCTGGCTGATGTTCCTGCCTTCTACATGGTAGAATTATCACCACCATATTCTGTTTGATGCAGTGCTAAGGTTGGAGCCGAGGGCTTCCTGCATGCTAGGCAAACATTCTACCAACTGGGCCTGGGCCCCGCCCTAGTCTCTGATTCCAATGATGATTCTGCTCCTGGCTCCCCGCTAGCGATTCTCAAGCAACACTGAATCAACTCTGGTCTGGTGCTGCCTATCTTTCCCATTGTCCAGTCCAGAAAAGAATGTATATCTTTTTTTTTTCAGTGTAATAAAGGAAGCCGTCATGCCTGTGCATGGTATATTGCTTGAGTTCACTGCAAAGCCAACTGTTGTTTGTGGTGCACAGAGTCCTCAGCAGGTTTGAGGTTGTCTCTAGCTAGGCCCCAGCCATTACCTTGGCTCTAGAAAGTTTCAATTTGGAAGATAGCTCAGTGGGTATTTGGGGTTTTTGTCTTCAAATCTGGTGACCTAAGTTTGATTCCTGGAACCCACGAAGTAGTAGTCAAATTCCTACAAGTTGTCCTCCTGTCTTAGGGTTTCTATTATTGCAATGAAACACCAAGACCCAAAAGTAAGTCAGGGAGGAAAGAGTTTATTTGGCTTACACATCCACATTGCAGTCCGTCTTTGAAGGAAGTCAGGACAGGTACTCAAGCAGGGTAGGAACCTGGAGGCAGGAGCTGATGCAGAAGTTATGGAGGGGGTGCTGCTTATTGGCTTGCTCATCATGGCTTGCTCAGCCTGCTTTCTTTTTTTTTTCCTTTTTTTTTTTTTTTTTGTTTTTGTTTTTTGAGACAGGGTTTCTCTGTGTAGCTCTGGCTGTCCTGGAACTCACTCTGTAGACCAGGCTGGCCTCGAACTCAGAAATCCACCTGCCTCTGCCTCCCAAGTGCTGGGATTAAAGGCGTGCACCACCACTGCCTGGCTCAGCCTGCTTTCTTCTAGAACACAGGACTACCAGCCCAGGGATGGCACCACCCACAATGGGCTGGGCTCTCCCCCATCAATCATTAAGAAAATGCTCTACAAGCCTGCCTACTGCCTGATCTTATGGAGGCATTTTCTCAGTTGAGGTTCCCTCCTTTCAGATGATTCTAACTTGTGTCAAGTTGACATAAAACCAGCTGGCACACCTCTGACCTCTACATGTATGTTGTGGTACATTTGTCCAACCCACCCTCAAAGATAAGCATATAAACCCCATTTAAAAGATATTTGTTTTATGTTTCTGATTGTTCTGCTTACATGTATTTATGTGTAACACTTGCATGCCTGATGCCCACAGAAGTCAGAGCGGGCATCCAGATGCCATGGGACTGGAGCTATGGATGGTTATAAGATGGCATGTGGGTGTAGGAATTGACCCCAGGTCCTCCACAAGCACAGCAAGTGCATGTCTTAACGAGACAGTGTAGCAGTTGAGAGCATTGATGGCTCTTGCAGAAGACCCATGATCATTTCCTAGTACCTACATGGTGACTACAACCATCCATAACTCCAGTTCTGTTTCTTCTGATCTCCATAGACAATGGACATGTACATGGTGCACATATATACATGCAGGCAAAACATTCATACACATAAAATGAAATAAATAGTTAACAACAAAATAAGTATGTTGGGCAGTAGTGGCACACACCTTTAATCCCAGCACTTGGGAGGCAGAAGCAGGTGGATCTCTGAGTTCGAGGCCAGCCTGGTCTACAGAGTGAGTTCCTAGATAGCCAGGGGTACACAGAGAAACCCTGTCTCAAAAAGAGAAAGAAAGAAAAGAAAGGAAGGAAGGAAGGAAAAGAAGAAAGGAGAGAGGAGGGAGGGAGAGAGGGAGAAGGAGAGAAAGAGAGAGAGAGAGAGAGAGAGAGAGAGAGAGAGAGAGAGAGAGAGAGAGAGAGAGAAAGCAAGTAAGCAGGCTGAGCAAGCCTTGAAGAACAAGCCAGTAAGCAGCATCCCTCCATGGCCTCTGCTTCAGCTTCTGCCACAAGGTCTTAAATTCCAGCTACTCGGAAAGTCACAGATCCTTCTGATCTCAGCATACACCATGCTTGAGTGGGACAAAATGGCACCAAGCAACATCATGTGCCTGGGAACTGGAGGGAGGTTAAGACAAGATCCAGACCACAATGCTTCCTGTCCACAGTTACAACTTGTGCTAAGGACTCAACTTCTTGGTTTGAAACCATGGAATTCCTTCCTCTGTTCCTTTGCTCTTTTTGGCCTACCTTCCTAGGCCACAAGTACCATGTCTTCCCATATCCATGCTGACCCATCTGAGGCGTTGTGTTTTTCTTTTAATGGGTGACATTGTCCACGTTTACTCTGTGTTATGTGTGGATCCCACAGGGACTTACTTATTCCCTGATGAAGGATAGATTCACTTCATCATGGAGCTGAGCTCATGAGCCCAAACTAACCACATGTTTTGTCACTATCTTGGTTAATGTCCCCATGTCACCATTAAAAAGATGGTGTATGTCGTCCAACTTCACCACCATCTTGGTTATTGTACCCACATGGCATAAACCAAAATGGCGGCCAACCCCTCAGCAGATTACCCCTTTTGTGCTAAGGAGCGCCAGGAGACTTCCATGGCATGTGTCCGGGGCTTTCGTTTTATTGTCTTAATTTTGACACATGACTCTAATTGATATGTTTACTGGCCTGTAAAGGAAACTTAAACACTTCCACTGTTTTAGTGTTTAGTCCCCGCTGTGTGCCTCCACCATTAGCCAGGTATCAAAGGAAGCTGACACTTTGAAATGGTTAGACTTGGAAGGCTCATGGGAGTTTGATCAAGCCAGAGCCAAGTCTTGGGAAAGCACAGAACTCAAGGAGAACTAAAAGCATAGATGGCCAGGTGCTGCCAGCAGGCAGCTCTGACAGCTGGGGCAAAGAGGAACCCATCTGGACATATGACCGGTGCTGGGTCTCAGCGCCTGATCTTTCTGCCTAGAATCTCCAAGCCTGTTTTTCTCTCTGATACGTGGGACTCCTTTGATCCACCTTCACTGACCGCTCTTGAGTCCGCCTCAGTGTATCCTGTGAACTGAATGGTTTTCATTTTCTAATTCTTGTGGCACAAACACATAGAAAAAGAACATTCTCCATGAGGAAAATTATACTAAAGTTTCTGTCATTCAGACACTCGGGCTAATAGGAAGTCTTTAAGGGGGATTTAGCCTGAGTCGTCTCATGCTTGCCTCCTGTCTAGGTTGGGGAGTGTAATAGAATCGACAGATAAGAAATGTGAAGAACGCCTTTAATCCAGCACTTGGGAGGCAGAGGCAGGTGGATTTCTGAGTTCGAGAGTTCGAGGCTAGCCTGGTCTACAGAGTGAGTTCCAGGACAGCCAGGGCTACACAGAGAAACCCTGTCTCGAAAAAACCACCCCCCCTAAAAAAAATAATAAAGAAATGTGAAGAGCATGGTTTAAAGGATGTGTGGGAGCTTTACCCACAGGGAGCCAAATCCTCCCAACTTACAGTTGCTAAGAGTTTACTGATTTCTTTGGCATGTAAGGTTCAATATATAAAATCAGCCAGCAGAGGCAGGCGGATTTCTGAGTTCGAGGCCAGCCTGGTCTACAGACTGAGTTCCAGGATAGCCAGGGCTACACAGAGAAACCCTGTCTTGAAAAACAAAAACAAAAAATAAATAAAATAAAATCAGCCAGACAAAATACAGAGAGATTTCAGTAAGGTCATGGGTATTAAAGTGTCCATGTATAAGAAATGGACAATCTAAACATCTGTTCGTGGTCCCTGATGAAGAAGGGGAGGACACAGGAGTCCAGGATCACATTAGTAAAGCAAATGATCTGATAGTATCTCCTTTTTTCAAAGACTGAGAGCTAAGAACTCTCTAGAGGACTCTTTAGAGGAGCCAAGAAAGACCTGTCTTTTGTCTAGCACATGGGTACAGTCAGTAAGACTCCCCTTCACTATAACTTTACCCATTGGGATCTCTTCCATCAAAGCCAGCCTGGATCACAGATCGAGTTCCAGGACAAGCCAGGGCTACATGGAGAAACCCCATCTTGAAAACAACAGCAACAACAAAAACCTAATAGTTTTCTGTACATAGGCCTGGCCTGAGTGAAAACTAGAGGATGAAAGATGTCTCTTCAGCAAAATAACAGTATATCATGTTGTCCTGCACCGTCATAGGAAGCCTGTCTGCCTCCATTAAACCCAAACTGACTGTGGGTACTGGTCACCCCAAGTCTACTGAGGGAGGGGACCAGTGTGGACATTTCTGAAGGCAGATAGATACCTCTGTTTGCTCAGTCTTCCTTGGGCATGGATGTTAGCTGTTACTCATCCATGATAAAGATAGTGGATGCTGACCCTTCAAATGAAGAGCTCTGTCTGGTGTCTGACTCATATGTTACCCTCTTGTTAATCCCTGTTCCCAGTACATAACTCAATGGGTGGATGATAAGGCTCATGTGGACAAGTCGATTGATACAGGTTGTAAGGAAAACAGGTACTTTTGGTTCAGCTACTTTTTACTGGACTCAACAACAAGTCTCTTGTCTAGTGCCAACCATTGGAGTGTCAGTTACTGGCTTGCTCTTTGTGGTTTGCCCAACCTTCTTTCTTTTTATTCTTTCTTTCCTTCTTTTGTTTTTCTTTTGTTTCTTTTTCCTTTCCTTTTATTTCCTTTCTCTTTCTTTCTTTCTTTCTTTCTTTCTTTCTTTCTTTCTTTCTTTCTTAATTTTTTCTTTCTTTTCTTTCCTTTTTTTTGAGACAGGGGTTTTCTGTGTAGCCCTGGCTGTCCTAGAACTTGCTCTATAGACCAGGTTGGCCTCAAACTCAGAGATCCATTTGTCCCTGCCTCCCAAGTGCTAGGCAAAGGCGGGCACCGTCATACCCCGTTCCAACAGGGAACCGGTTCCTAGGGATTCCTTAGCTGAGTTTTGATGGACATTGTGAACATCAGTTTGAAGGTGCTTTGCTGTGTTTGTTACTCCCTTGTATCTGCTCCCCACACTCATTAAAAACCAAAAGCATAGTTATGACAGTGTCTCCATGTACTGAAAAAGACTGTTTTATGTTTTCTGTAAGATTTACCCAGGAACTTTCAAGGCCTCTTTTAACAGTGTTTACACAGGTAATACTAACTCAGTGCACTATCTTATGCATGCAGTTGCTGTCTGTGTCTTTTATTCAGGTGGTCTTGTGCCAGCCATGGTGCCTACACCTTTAATCTCACACCTGTAATCTGATCTTTAATAAAATTTCATTTGGACATTTTAAAGTATTTTCCAGACATCAGGAACTTACTTTCCTTCCT